TGCCCCATCTTCCTTCCAAGTAGTGGCTGGTGGGTTTGAACCGCCAGCCTTCTGGTTAGCAGTCAAGTGCCTTAGGCACTATGCTACCAGAGCTCCCAAAGTACCTCTGGATGGACTCAAACAACCAACCTTTCAGTTAGGTGCTGAGCAGTTAACCATTAGCGCCACCCAGGGACTCCATCATAATACAGGCAAGAATGATTTTTTATTGGAAACTTTACCATTTGAAGCTCCTCAGCACTTATCTGTAATCCATGCTCGGACTGTGCCTGAGATGTTTTGTGCCATTGCATTTTTCCCATTAAAGAAACATCCTTGAAGAAAGAAAAGAAAAGAATTAAAATAAAGCCAATTTTAAAAGTCAGTGGGACATATTGTTCAATGTAACAAAGATCTGATCAACGTACTGCAGTAAATGAGAAATTTATAAATGAGAAATATAATTTAATCAATGTAATGAACGAGAAATACAGAACATAAGATACAATAAAAATATTTTGTGTGTATTTATTACAAGTTCTTGGTTTTTTTAAATTATTGATCTCTATAGGTATATCATCAGATTTTAGAAGTCAAATACATAATAATAAACCAGGTACTCTGAAACAGTGCAGCGGATCATTTCAGAATAATAAAAGGGCAAAGTCACTAAGAAGACACAGCAGTATGCACTTCAAAACGTGGGGGGAGGGAAAATGACCAAACTGAAAAGAGAAATAGACAAATCCACAGTTATAATTGGAAGTTTCAAACCAAGACTATCAAGCTCCAGAGACTTCACTCTTAATAACATATAGTTAATAACTATACTGTTGTTGTTATGTGCCATTGGATTGGACCTGACTCATAGCGACCCCTCCTTGGGTTTCCGAGGCAGTATCACTACAGAAGTAAATTGCCCCATCTTCCTTTGGAGGAGTGGCTATACTAATAGATACTTAATAAATATACTACCTATATACTCTGTGAAGGAGCTCTGGTGGTGTAGTGGGTAAGGCATCTGGCTGCTAACCAAAAGGTCAGAGGTCCAAACCCACCAGCCTCTCCACAGAAGGAAAATGGGACAATCCACTTCCATAAACATTTACAGCCTCAGAAACCCAATGGGAGTCACTATGAGTCAGAATCAACTAGATGGCAGTGACTTTGGTTTTTGAGACACAACGTAAGGAGCTCTGGTTGCATAGTGGGTAAGGCATTTGGCTGTTAACCAGAAAGTCAGCAGACAAAACCCACCAGCCACACTGTGGAAGGAAGATGGGGCAACCTACTTCCATGAAGAGTTACAGCCTTGGAAACCCAATGGGGGTCACTGTAAGTCAGAACTGACTTAGTGGCAGTGGGTTTGGGTTTTTGTTTGTTTGTTTTAGACACTAACATGAAAGTCAGCAAATAATTCTTTACATTCTTGATTTATAAATATATCATTGAAATATAAACATGATAAATATGATAAATAAAAAACTCTAGGTATTGTTCAGCTCTGAGGAGAGAGAGAACTGTTGGGGAGAGGTACAAAAGGTGCCCCAACTCTATGTGCAATGTTTATTTTTTTAAGGAATTGGAAGTAAATATGGCAAAGTATTAAATTTTGACAAATCTTGATAAGTACTTCTTCTACATTTGAAACCTTTTGTAACAAAATACTGCATAGAAATTTCTCAATGCATTCTATGTAGGTTTATACAGTGATATCAAAGATGAATTAAAAATATCTCCAGAGGGAGGCGGGGCAAGATGGCGGACTAGGCAGAAGGATTGCACAGACCCTCTTCAACAAAGAAAAGGGAAACCAATTAACAC